TTTTTTAAAAATTAATTTTAAAACAAACAAACAAATTTTCCTTTGTTTGTTTGTTATAAATTTATTAATATTTTGATTTTTTTAATTAATAAAAATATTTATTTACTGTTTTAGATTTTAATTAGGAAACCAAGTTAAATTTTTATTTCTAAATATTTTTGTTCTTTTAGAGAAAAAACTTTTGTAAGAAAAAATATGAGGTAGAAACAAGTTTGTAAAAGGTGGTACAAACAAAGTATTAAGGAAACAAAATGTGTGTGTGTAACAAAGCATGTTAAAAATAAATGCAGTAAACAAAACTTGTAAACCTGTAAACCTTATTCAGCCATTTTTTACTTAATAATAATCATAAATATAAACAAGTTGAATGTTGCTTTCTCTATCTATCTATCTAACAAATGTGTGTAATTTGTGAGTTTTGTTGTTTTAAAACAAACATTTTTTGAAATTTTTACAATTTTGCATATAAAATATACACACATATACTTTTTTTTTTTTTACAAGTAATTGAACTTATGTTTTATTTAGATTATTTAGACATCGTTGAGATTATGTACATAATAATCAAATTTCATTAGACTGTATAAATAAAATATATAAAAAATTATTTTTTTATAAATATACAACACATGTATTGTTTAAACCGTGACTTTTTTTTTTTTAATTTCTGGTCATAAATGTCTTATATGCATCTGTATAGTATAAAATTTAAATGTAAATGATTTTACCATATCTGTAAATTATATTATTATTATTATTTATTTTTATTATAAGGCATGGAATGATCGGTTATAAAATATAAAACATTTAAAAAATACTATAAATAGATTTGAAGTGTATACGTGACGTTAGACTTGTTCAATATTTCAATGGCGTGCACGAGCACACACACACAATTTCTTTGACCTGACTTTGTGTCAATAAAACAACAATAATTTTTAAATGTAATTTTAAATAAATTATTTACAAAAAAAAAAAAAAGAAGTTAAATGAAATTAAACACCATTACATATGATTATTTTATTTTTTAAATAAAGTTGAGTAAATTCCTTTTTAAAAAAAAAAAAAAACGGTTAAAATTAGAATTTGCTCAAAGTGTTCAATTAATTTAAATTTTGTATTTCGAACGTTTCTTTTTAGTTTTTTAAGATATTTTAATGTGTAAAATAAAAAAATTATTTTAAATGAATGATAATTTATTTGAAAAAAAAATAATAATAATAGTAATAAATAGAAAAAAAAAAAAAAACTCATTTTGAGTATTTTTGTAATTTTGAATTTTAACGGAAATTTATTAATCCGCCAAAAAAAAAGCCGCCCGCCATCTTGTTAAATGAATAACTTTCAAGTGCATCTGATAATCTTTTTATTTCGTCTAATGACATTAAACTCACTAGGCTTAGCAAATGGATTTCTATTAATCTTTTCAGTTACACCATTTTTTAAGAAAAGTAATAATTTGTCGCATAATAAATTCTTTTTTAACTATAATTTTAATCGTTTTTTGACCTTAAAACAAATAAGGAAAATGTCAACGGTTGAAGAGGCGAAGAAATGTGCTGCACATTCAGCAGTTGTTAATCACGTTAAGGTTTTGTAATATTAATTTATATATATGAATATGTATATATTGAAAATTTAATGTTTTTATCTTAAAAAGATATATAAGTCTTATAATGCCAATGAATATATAAAAATGAAAACCTTATAATTGTATACTATCTTTACAGAATAACAGCATTGTAGGTATAGGCAGTGGGTCTACAGTTGTTTATGCTGTTGAAAAATTAGCCGACCGTATAAAAAATGAAAAGTTACATATCATTTGTATCCCGACTTCATTTCAAGCTGAACAACTAATTACTGAAAACAAATTAAATTTAGGTTCTCTCTCTCAGTATCCTGAGGTAAACGCCTTTCTTATTACAACTCATTGTTTGGTAACATTGTAATACACATATTTTAAATTATTTATTAACTTTACAGTAGATCATCAATACCTACTTGTAATATTGTGAGAACACTACTTTTACCATTTATTCATTAACATCTATTACTTTTAAATTGACAGCCATATATAGAAGTTATGATTTAATGATTTCGAAAGAGTAATTAACACTTGCTACGAATAATATTCAAGGTTTAATAAAAAGTTCAAAACAAAATTATTATTTTTCAGATTGATGTGGTTATCGATGGTGCTGATGAAGTAGATGAAAACTTAACATTAATAAAAGGAGGAGGGGGATGTTTATTACAAGAAAAAATAATTGCTAGTTGTTCGAAAGAAATGATAGTTATAGCTGATTTCAAGTATGTTTTACTCGATAAGTTTTAGTCTTTATGAAAAAGCTTGAAAAATTTAAAAATGTATAACGAAATGATTCTATGTCTTCTTCGAAATAACTATTTATTAGAGTGGGAAAGCATTGTTATTATTAATTTTACATTTCACAACTTGATAGATGAATTATTTATTTTCAGTAAGAAATCCAAAAAATTAGGTGAAAAATGGAAGAAAGGAGTTCCCATTGAAGTCATTCCATTTTGTTATGTACCGATAAAAAACAAAATACAATTGAAATTTGGTGGAGAAGCTGTGCTGCGAATGGCCAAGATGAAAGCTGTAATTATTTTTGAAATACAATAAATTGATGAATTTTATTATATTCATCATTTTTTTATCTTTACTCATTGTTTTTTTTTAGGGACCAGTTGTTACTGACAATGGTAATTTTATCCTCGATTGGAAATTCCCTGAAAATAAAGATTATAATTGGGAAAAAATAAGTGTCGATTTAAAACTAATACCTGGAGTTGTCGAAACTGGATTGTTTGTTAATATGGCTAAGAAAGCATATTTTGGAATGTCAGATGGTTCTGTCGTTATGACTCCTTAGAAATAATTTCAAAAGTGAGTATTAAAAGTATTTTGAAGTATTAAATTTAATAAAATTTAAAACAAAATTTTATAAATTGTTTTAATTTAATGTATAAAGTTTAAAGAATAATTAATTATTATTATTTTTTTTTTTTTAATGCCATTGATTTTCAATTTGTTTTTTAATTATTAAACTAAATGAACCGGTACGTAGTATGGGTACGTATTGTACGAATATCCAGAAGCGTATCCTGTAAATGACAAAAAAAAAATAAAATGTATTCAAGAATTTAGAATAGTATTTACTGACTCGCCCATTAAAATAAATAATACATGTAACTAATAATAATAATAATATTTACCTAAATTATAAACGTAGGGCGTGTAGGTTTGATATAATGGGGATTTATAATAATGAGAATAAGTAACAACTGGAGAAGCAACTACCGCAGGACTTGCAGATAAAATTAAACTCGGATTTGGTTTTGGTTCTGGTGCAGCTACCGGTCCTGGAGCCGGTGCTGTATTGCATAAACCAATTAGAGATATTAAAATTACCTAAAATCGAAAAAAAAAAAACAAAAAAACTTTTTTTTTAACTAACTAATCATCATTTTACTCGATGATTGCTTTTTAAGTTTAAATATTTAAATAATTCGTATATAAAAATGAATATTTGTGGCGAATTAAATTTAAATATACTTACAGTTAATAACATTTTATAATAATAATAATAATAATAAAAAGGAAGTAGAATATTAAACTTGATAAAACTCAAATAAAGTTGCGAAAGCACTAAATTATTAACACTTTAGGCCATTTATTTATAGGTTTTTTTTTTTTACTCTCATCCCTGGGGCAAAATTAATAACAATAATTTTTTTTTTTTTTTAAATTTTTTTTTGACGGGTACCAAATGGGGGCCCTCAGTTTTGGTTGCACAAAATTTTTTAAATTGCAATTTACCGAGTAAGATTAAAAAAAAAAAAGTTTTTTTTTATTAATTCTAATTTAAAATTTTTTTTATGGAAATAATATTTATTTTTACAGTTTAACCTGTAGAAAATTTACAAAGGAGTCAAATTTTTTATTAAAATCGTTTTTTTTTTTAATATAAAAAATTAATGTAAATTATTATTTAAATAAATTATTACAGGAAAAAATTTTTTAGGTAAAACATTTCAAGGGAACGACATTCGATCGCGCATCGTCGTTTTATTAAATAAAAAAATATTTAAGGACCTTAAATCCAAATTCAACAATACACACACACACACGAAGACACGTGGATTTGTTTACATTTATTTGCAACAAACAAGATTCGACAAATATTTTGAAAAAATTCGAACTAACGGACCTTAAATTTTTAGGTACAAGTTTTTTGTGGAGGTTCAAATACTCGAAAGAAAAAAAAAATTTTTTTTTTTTTTTTTAATACGACTGCATTTTAAGATTTATTTTTTATTTTTATTTTTTCATTCGCTAACATAATCTAATATGGTATTTTTAAAATTATCATTATCAGTTTGACATTTAATTAATTTTATTTTTGATTCTATTTTTAAAAAAATGATTCTGGTTTTTTTTTTTTAAATCACTTAACCGGTCGATTTAAAAAAAAAATTTTTTTTTTCTACTTTAGAATGAAAATTTGATTTTATTTTGTTTAACGATTAGGCATCATTTTTTGCTTATAATTTGCCTCATTTTGTTCTCCTTGTGAAAGATTCACGAAGGGGAAAAAAGAAGATGAAGAAGAAGAAGAAGAAGAAAAAATATGAAGTTGTAGGAGATGCATCAAGATGAAACCAAAAAAAAAAAAAATTAAATTAAATTAAATTCAACAGGTTTTTTTTATACGTCGACATGAAAACCTTGAACCAAGATGCATTTAATGTGTGTGTGTGTGTGTGGAGGTTACACGTGTTTATGCGGTCATCGATGGATGAACCATAATAACTTTGCTTTGATTTTTTTTTTTTTTAAACAAGAAGAACATCCGAAGAGAATGTTTTGAACGAATTTAATTAAAAAGAATAACACCGACCAACGGTTTTTTTTATTTTTATCATCCATTTTAACTTGAAATATATTTTTAGGAGAAAATGGTGGATGAACATAACAATTCATCAATCTCAAATTTTTATTTACAATTTGAAAATGTTATTACCCGAAGAAGATTTTGATTTTTAAATGAGCTTTATGATTCTTATAATGACTTATATTTTCTCTTAAAATCATTTTTTTTTTTTTGAATTTGTTTAGAAGAGAAAAGTTGTTTAGTTGCACGTCGTGCACGTGATTGTTACATATTAATTTTTTTCCATTATTATTATTATTATTTTTTTTACAGGTGAAAACAATTTTACATAGGTAGTGATCACTTCGTAGAATCCTTTTCGTTAAACAATAAGATAGGCAACAAAAGAAATTTTTGTTTTTTATTATTATTATTTTTTTAATTCTTTGGGAAGTTATTGTCGTACATGAAATTAAATTTTTGATATATTTTTACGGGTGTTTTTCATAATTTCTGCCATGGGAAAATGGTAAATAAGACATAATTAATGTTTGCTCTAAAAAAAATATTTTTGTAAATGTTTTTTACTTATTGGATCATTTTTTCTTTGTTTTTGTAATAATATAATAAAATTTATTATCAAATGTTATAATAATTTATTAAATTAATTTGTTTTGTGATTTAGTCAATTAAATTTGGAAGGAATGAATATATTTTAAAATTTAAATTATTTTTTTTAGATGAGATGAAAGGAGAGAAAGACTAGAAGATGAAAATAAAACAAGAGAAAACAAATTCACATGTTATTGTTTTTTATGTTACGTGACACTTATCGCGACATCTATCGGAATTTTTTTTCATTTAAAAAACAAAATCAGTAATGGCGGATCAAATTCGTTTAAATCCATTTGTGGAGGAAAAATAAACCTTCTCGTTTTAATTAATCTCTCTCTCTCACAAAAATTAATTTTAAGTAAAATGACGATAATGAGATGAAATTATCATGAAATTATCGTGAAGGATACAATGAAATAATTTAATCAAGTTACATGGATCACAAAAGAAAAATAACTGACGTATATATATATATATAAAATTAAATTAAAACTTTTTAATTACGTACATAAGCTTAATTAATTTTTATTTTTTTGTATTTATTTGTTTAATTTAAGATGTCGATAAAGGTTATCAACGCATTAGAGAATCATTACATCACATTATTTACACTAAAATCACAATTGGAAAAACTCACACAAACGTTATAAAAGTGTGACAATAATAATTATATACAAAGATAATTAAATATCGTTTATTTAATGAAGAAAAAATTAATAATAATAATTAAAATGTATAATTTTGGATTAATTATTGGATTTTTTATGGCGTGCAACGCGTTGAGTTTAGAAATATGGAGTAAACCAAAGTTTAATAATATAATAGTTGTTAAAAATTTTTGGAAAAGCACGGGTTTAAGGTATGGTTACATTTAAAAAAATACATAAAATTTAAGTTTTTATATTAAAATTTAATTTGTTTGCAGTCCACCTGGAGATTTTAAAGATCGTCAAAAATTTTTACTATCGAATGACGAAAATATAAATTTAGATTTAATTGGATCGTTACCAAACGGTGGAATTCAAAAAATAAGAATTCATTGGATGTTGGATTTGGTAAAAATTCGGTTAGTAACAAATTATATATAAACAAAAAGATTTTATCTTAATATACAATGCAAGATGTTTAAAGGATTTCTCATCTGTCTCTCTCTCTCTCTTCATTAAAATAAAAATATAAATAGTAATAGTTTTAGTTTTGAAATAAATT